TTATCTGGGTCATGAAGATCTTTTTTGTACAGTTCTTCTGTGTATTCTTGCCACCTCTTCTTAATATCTTCTGCTTCTGTCAGGTCCATACCATTTCTGTCCTTTATAGAGCCCATCTTTGTATGAAATATTCCCTTGGTGTTTCTAATTTTCTTGAAGAAATCTCTAGTGTTTCCCATTCTGTTGTTTTCCTCTATTTCTTTGCATTGATTGCTGAAGAAGGCTTTCTTATCTCTCCTTGCTATTCTTTGGAACTCTGCATTCAAATGGGTATATCTTTCCTTTTCTCTTTTGCTTTTCACTTCTCTTCTTTTCACAGCTATTTATAAGGCCTCCTCAGACTGCCATTTTGCTTGTTTGCATTTCTTTTTCTTGGGGATGGTTTTGATCCCTGTCTCCTGTACAGTGTCACGAACCTCTGTCCATAGTTCATCAGGCACACTGACTATCAAATCTAGTCCCTCAAATCTATTTCTCACTTCCACTGTATAATCATAAGGGATTTGATTTAGGTCATACCTGAATGGTCTAGTGATTTTCCCCACTTTCTTCGATTTAAGTCTGAATTTGGCAATAAGGAGTTCATGATCTGAGCCACAGTCAGCTCCCAGTTTTTGCTGACTGTATAGAGCTTCTCCATCTTTGGCTGCAAAGAATATAATCAGTCTGATTTTGGTGTTGACATCTGGTGATGTCCATACATGTTTAATCTCTAAAATTTCTGTTATATCAAATAAGCTAAAATTTCCTTATGACAGTTATTGGTGAACTTAGTAAGAAAGTGAGAAGTAAGAACTGGTTGTTTAATGTGACTGATTTTTAAACCATTTTTAAAAATGGCTTTTAAAAAAAAACTTTTAAACCATTCAGTAAATCATAAAAGTGAACCATGTAAATACACACACACACACACACACATATATATAAAATATAGCCATCTGATTTATAGAAAATAAATTTTCCCATAGTTTTATTATTGCCCATAAACTAAGAATGTCTTTTCTACCAGCCTTTTCACAGTAAAAAAAAAATGTGTGACTTGAAACATTACATTTTTTGTTATAATAAAAGAAATTATTGAGGGACTTCCCTGGTGGTCCAGTGGCTAAGACTTCACTCTCCCAGTGCAGGGGGCCCAGGTTTGATCCCTGGTCAGGGAACTAGAACCCACATCCCCCTATGAAAATCTTGTGCAGCATAGAAAAAAAAAAGTTAGTGATATTTAGAAGCTATGCCTCTTTTTTCTTGTAATTTGAGTTTTATACAATTTCCCACTTTAGAACTGTGAGGTAGGATCACTTCAGAGCTGCCATACCCTTTGGTATCTTTTTTAAAACAAGTAAATACCTTCCTTAAGTTCCTCTTTTCTCCCCTCCCTCCCACCTCTCTTGCTTTCCATCACTGCTCATGCATCAGTGCACTCATAAAGTAATCTGCCTTTCTGGTGTAATGTAAATGACATCTAAACCTGCCACTTTTGGTTTTGCCAACAAAATAAATGCATTTTAAAATACTTTTTTTTAAGTATTTTAAAATGCATTTATTTTAATTAATTAAAAAAAAAAACTTATTTTTGTGCTGCATCTTCTTGCTTCTTTTTTCAAGGGCTTTTCTCTAGTCGTGGCACTCAGGAGCTCCTCCTCATTGTGGTGCATGGGCTTTTCATTGTGGTGGCCTCTCTGGTGGAGCAGGGATACTAAGGCCTGCATGCTTCAGTAGTTTCAGCTCAGGAACTTTAGAGCAAGGCCTTCTGTGGTACAGTTGCTCTGTGCCACGTGGGATCTTCCCAGACCAGGGACTGAACCATGTCCTCTGCACTGGTAGGCAGGTTCGTATCCACTGTGCCACCAGGGAAGTCCAGTTTAGAACTGTTTTTTATTTTAACATACTTTTCAGAAGTTGCCCTGTATTCAGGATTCATCTGTTTATTTTCGATTTAAAGGAACGACCAAGAAGTGCAGTGGAACAGCTCTGTTTGGCCGAAAGCCCTCGACCTAGGATGACTGTGGAAGAACAAATGGAGAGAATCAGGAGGCATCAACAAGCATGCTTAAGGGAAAAGAAAAAAGGGTTAAATCTTATTGGTGCTTTAGACCAGTCACCCTTACCAAGTCCTTCAAACTTAAGGGAAAATCCATTCAGGATTACTCAGGTATATATATCAGTTGTTTTTACTCATTCTTGTGGGTAAATCTAATATCACTTGAATCTTAGAATCATAGAGTTACATGGTAGATGGGTTTTTAAATATTGGAAACATAGATAGTTATATTATTTAACTCTTATGATATGCCAAGACAGCTTAGTAAAATGGAAATAGCCCTGGGTTCAAAAAACCTGGGCTAAATTACTTGTTGCCCTCCTCTTGGTTATGAACTTAATCTCCTCTGCTATAAGTCAAAGACACACCTGTCCTGTGTATGTCACAGAAATACTAAAAAGATAAAATTTGCTTTCAACACATGTAAAATGCCATGTAAGATAGTCCCCAATTCCCCTCCCAATAAAATGTGCAGTACTCTGTATCCTAATTTAGCCTGACCTAAATTATAGCAGGGGAGAGCTTCAGAATAAAAGTTGTACTATGCAGCACATTTTAACTTCAGTCTTATAAAGAAACAACATTCCATCTCTTATTATTTGTTTGTTGGTTATCCTGATTCATAAATCAGAGCAGACTAGTGAGCCTTTCCAGAGGCTTCAGTCGGTCGATCCCTGTTTGTTGATGTGGACTCACTGAAGGTGCCTCCCCATCATCATGGAAATCTCCTCTTATCGTAGTTGGAGAGCAGGCATTTCTAGGAGAGGTTAACAGTTAAATAACTGTACATTCTACACATTACCAAATAGACAGTTAATATATATAAGATGTCTCTGTTGTTTCTCATAAGGAAACCTTGCAAATGAAGGGCCAACTTAAAAAAAAAAATTAGCAGGTACTACCTAGGAACTATGCATACCTGTATAGTATGAATCTAAAAGTACTGCCTATCTGTTGAACAGGCTCGAAGAAAGGATGATAACTCTAAGGAACTGGATGCTGCCATCAGAGAAAATGACATGAAGCCAAACCATGACACTCCTGCCACAGACACTGTTCAACGAAAAGAAGCTGAACCTCAAAATACGGATATCAGCGAAGAGGTAGAGAGATTATTTTAGGACACATATTCCAAAGGGATAGATTTTAAGATGAGATCAGGTGGGAAGGTTGAAGATAGTTTTGTGTGGGATCTGTCACAGAGGATGCAGATCTCAGTGAAATGACAGGCTTCATGTAATTCGATCAATATATTCAGCCACTTCAAAAACTAGGTTAATTGAAAACTTAAAACATGATCAGTCAAGGCTGGAATAAATTACCACTACTCCAATTAAAGAATCTTTAATCCCAAAGCAGCTAGCTAATGGCAGTGTACTTTTTGTCCTTCTGATGTAGGAAAGGATATCACTATTTTTAATATACTTGATTTTAAAATATATTTCAGTAAATATTTGATACGGTATGGTGTTTAATAAAGTTTTATTTGGGAATCATTCTAGATAATTCACTCATATAGCAAATATGGTAAAAAAAAAATATTTTGAAAAAGCAAATTTTTCCTTCTTCCATAGTTTAAAAAAACTGAAAATGTTTTTTCTGAAACACTTTTCACACCTGAGCCAAATGGAGTGAATTCTGAGGAAGTGATGGATAAAGAAGGAGACAAAAAAGAGATGCCTGAGCATGTGCCATACAGGTAATAATTAGAGAAAACAAGCAGACAAAGGGATCATTCATTCACTAAATTAAATTCACCTGTTTAAAAATGGTAACCTTCATAGTCAGAGGTCTTAGATGCCACTCCCAGAATATCTACATACGAGCTGTAAGATCTTAAGCAAGTCATATAACCTTCCTAAATGCGAGCACCTCACCTGTAAAAACGAGGGTAATAGTAGTGACCATCTCACAAGTGTGTTGTAAGCATTAAAGAAGAAAATACAAGTGCAGCACTCAACTCTGTGCTAAACACCTAGGAAGTGATTAATAAATACCTTTTTAAAAATTATTTTAGCTTTTTATTTTATACTGGAGTAAAGCTGATTACCAGTATTGTGATAATTTCAGGTGGACTCAGCCAGACATGTACGTGTATCCATTCTCCCCCAGACTCCCTTCCCATCCAGGCTGCCACATAACATTGAGCAGAGTTCCCTGTGCTATTCAGTAGTATTTTGTTGGTAATCCATTTTAAATACAGCAGTGTGTACATATTGATTTCAAACTTCCTAACTATTTCTACGCACACAAGCTGTAGCAAAGTAAGCACCTTATCGTTGTCTGTATAATGACAGACGCTGATCAGCTGTCTTAAGCTGTCTAAGCATTCCAAAAATTATAGTGATTTTCTGTTTGTTTTTTAACTGTATTTGTTAACTAGCCTTTTAAAATGTATAGCCTCAATCTCGCCCTCCACAAAAACATTCTCAGTGCTGGAAAAGAGAAATACTGTGTTTTCATGTAATAGGGGTGACTTTATCTCTGAAAAGAATAGCAGAAGTGAATCTGGGGTCTTTTGGTGTGTGTTTTCTTTCATTTACTCATTGACTTTTGGCTGCAGCGGGTCTTCATTGCTGCTCTAGGGCTGGCTGTAGCTGCTTTGAGCAGGGCTCCCCTTTGTGGCGGCGCTCGCACTTCTCACGGCAGTGACTTCTCTCGTTAGGGAGCATGGGTTCTAGGCTTGTGGGCTCAGCAGTTGTGATGCGCAGGCTTAGTTGCCCCGAGGCATGTGGGATCTCCCTGGATCAGGGATGGAACCCATGTCTCCTGCATTAGCAGGCAGGTTCTTCACCACTGAGCCAGCAGGGAAGCCTTGGGGTGGTGTGTTTTAGATTAAAGTAGACATGAAGGGACTTGTCAGGCAAATATAATCAGACTTCGTCTGGATCCTGACTTAAACAGGTAACTCTTATGATGTTATAAAGCAGTTGAGATCATTTGAACATTGACTGGGTATCTGATGGTATTTACAGATTGAGTAATATATCCTTAATCTGCTTGAAAATAATTTGGGGAGGAGTGGGGTGAGGGTTTAGAATGAAACAAAATTGACAAAATGTGGGTTTAAAAAAAATTTGAGCAAAATGTTAGCAGTTGTGAAATATAGATGGCAACATTGTTTCTGTGAAGATTTTTCATAATACTAAGTTGGAAGAAAAAAATTACATTCTAATATAACAAATTTGGGGGACTTCCCTGGTAATCCAGTGGTTAAGACTCCACACTTTAAACACAGTGGGTGTGGGTTCAGTCCCTGATTGGGAAACTAGGATTCCACACACTCTGCAGCCAAAATAATAATAATAGATTAAAAAATAACAAATTTTAAAATACCTTTCTATTTTCATTAGCCCTCAAGAGGAGTCACAGATCCCAAATCATAAACCAGAAGGCCCCCCTGCAGAAGATACAAAGGACGATATTCATGAGCAGGAAGAAAATGTTCTTTCTCACGAACTAACTCCTGAGGCTTCTAGAGGAAATCAGACAATGGCAGGTAGATATTACCCGTTTCCTAGCTTTCTCACCGCTGCTTCCTCTGAACCTCTGAATTTATTTGCCATATGGAGACTCTAGCAAGGGGGCTACCCGGGGACATCAGCTGCAGACTGAGAGGTCTTCGCCTTCCCACACCTGCATGGTCAGGAAGACTGCCGCTACTCAGGAGCCCGGGGCCAGTCCTGTCTCAGCAGCCAGAGCTGCCCTCTCTCTGACTTGGACGTCACTTCCTTCTTTTTGTTTGTTTTTTTGATCTTAACCTTAACACATACCTTAAACTTTTTTCTAAGAAGGTCTTTTACTACTTGGAAATTTTACCTATTTCTCTGACATTGCATTCCCAGAGTATTCATAAACCTCTCTCCCTCTGGGAACCGTGGGAGATTGAATATCTAAACTATTAATAGTCGAATGGATTTACTTACTTAGCTCCTACCATAATCCAATCTCTGATAGTAAATCTGTATCTCTGATAGTAAAAGATCATGATCTGTATAGCATGTCCAAAAAAAAAAAAATACATTTTTGTCTATGCTATTCTTTTATACTTTCTGGATTCTTCAAAATCTTTTTTCTTTTTTCATGATTTTTGGCAAGGAAAGGGGGTAAGAGAATCATACCACTAGTATAAATCATCAACTTTCCTTCTCAATAGTCCATAAGCAAAATCTGTTCTTAGTAATCCTTTCTCTGCCTCCTACCCCCCACCCCTAGTGTGCAGAAGGGTAAGCACAATGAAATTCAATTACCTAGGACAGTTCTTAAGAGCATTTTCTGTATCTTGTATACCTGTAACATGGAAATGTATATTATCAGCCATGTTCCTTTGTAACCAATATGAAGCACTGTCTTTTCCTTGTCTCTTATCACTTTAAAGGCAATGTGCATGGGCATTCTCATTTTTTACAAAAAATTATCATTGGTCACATCAGGTTATTCTTACGGCAGGGTTAAAGGGGTGTGTGTGTGTGTGCTCAGTCCTGTCCCACTCTGCAACCCCATGGACGGTAGTCTGCCAGGCTCCTCTGTCCATGGGATTTTCCAGGCAAGAATACTGGAGTGGGTTACCATTTCCTCCTCCAGGGGTCTTCCGGACCCAGAGGTCGACTCTTGGGTCTCTTGCACTGGCAGCCAGATTCTTTACCACTGTGCCACCAGAGAAGCCCCAAAGGCTATGTGGGTGTGTTTAAACCACAACACTTTGACCATCTGTAATATTTAGCTGCGTGGAACTAGAAAAGCCTTTTAAAGTGAGACCCAAAGGGTTAAGTGACTAATAGACACCTGAAAATTAACCTTGAAAGAAAAAGATTAAAAAGGAGAGAGAATTCTTAATTTTATTTTCCAGTTTCACTGCAATATAATTGGCATATAACATTATATTAAGTTTAAGGTGTACAAGGAAGAAGAATTTTTAAACAGTCTTCAAGAGACATTTCATCCTGAATAAGTAGCTGTCAGAATAGCCAAAATGCAGAAGCGAAATGCAGCTAATAATTCCTTCCCGGCACATGTTCCGACCGTGCTGGGACCCCAGCGTCAGGATCTTCTGCCCCAGAGGTGTCTGCGGGGTTTGACCCTGTCCCATTTTCTCGGTGTGTTCCAGCGCAAAGCCTGCCTCCGTCTCCCGGCTCCTCCGCGTCACCCGTCCCGTCCGCGCAGCCGCAGCTCACGGAAGGCTCACACTTCATGTGTGTGTAGTCTCACAAGTACGTCATTTCCTTTCGACTCTGTGGTTCGCCGTTAAAGTTGTCAACTTGACTTTTATTCCTCTGTTGTTTGAGTGACCAAAACCTGCAATGAGTTCTGTCCTGTGTATTAGTGGTAGTTGGCAGAGCAGGTAGACCAAGCATTTAAACCATGGGCAGTAAAACTTTTCCAACATCGGCCCTGCAGAGGTGCGCTCCGGGACCGCATTTTCCCGGTCTCTTCTTTCATTGTCTGTAAAAACAGCCGAAGTCGGAGGGAAGGGCCTGTGCCAGGACAGGCCCCCTGGTGTTTTGCAGCTGTGTTCCCAGCTCACGGTTCCTTCCACAGTCAGGTCTGAGAATTCTGTTCAAGTCGTTACATTTTGACCCAGAAATGTTTTCCACAGTTAGGGTGACGTATCTTCCATATTGACAGTTTGCTGATTATTTTTAAGGATTACGAGAAGGTCATGGTACAGCCAACTATAAGTCAGTAAAGTAATTATCTAAAAGCCACGAGTGGGGACAGGGAGAAGGGCCCTTTCTTGACCAGTATTCCTTTGACCACAATTTAGAACTGAGAATAATTTTCTAAGGTCCTTTTTTCCCCCGTTAATTTTATGCCTTTATTTTTGGCTGTGCTCGATCTTTGTTGCAGTGCGGGCCTTTCTCTGGTTGCAGCAAGTGGCGTCTGTCTGTAGTTGCGGCGCATGGACTTCTCCTTGCGCTGGCTTCTCTCGTCGCAGAGCGTAGGCTCCGGGGCACACAGGCTGCAGTACTCGGAGCTCCCGGCTCAGTAGTTGTGGTGCTCGGGCTAGCTGTTCTCACAGCATGTGGGGTCTTCCTGGATGAGGGATCCAACCCATATCCCGTGCATTGGCAGGTGGATTCTTCACCCCTGAGCCACCAGGGGAGCCCCCTGAAGCCTTACTTTTAAACTTTACCAACAACTGGTACATTTTATGTCAATTTTGTACTTACGTACTTTATTTTTCAGAAAAGCTGTGAGGTATAGAGTGAGCATTTCATGCCTTTTTCTGCACTTTTTTCCTCCTAGTATCTGCCAGATCTTCTAATGTTTAGTGTCTTAGGATTACCACCTATTTGTGTTAAACAGTTAAAGCTATGAAAACACCTCCAGATTTTTTGAGCATAATTATAAACATGTTCTTTGCTCTTTGGATTCTCAAAATAAATGACTACAGACACTAACTTGACTCAGTTTTTCATCCAGTAGTGCTCACATTTTCTAGAATCTACTTCCATTCACACCTTTTTTGGAAGAAGCTCTAACCTGTCTATGTCCCTTTTTTTTCAGCCAGAGGATTTATGTTTAACTGTCTTGTATCTATAACTTTTATTTGAGATCATGTCTATCTGGAGCCCCGAAGAGGCTTTGCTTGTTGTCATTTGGATCTCTGCAGGATTGTCGTCCTTTCTGGGGTTGTAAACCCCATCTTTGTTATAGTCTTACTTGTATCTTTCCTCAGTCACTCATACATTTAAACTTTTAATACATTCAGAAGTGGCAGTTGCCACTAGTGACAGAATAACACCAAACACAGGGATAATAAACATTATGTTCCCTTGATGCCGCCTGTGCGAAGAGTTGATCAATGGCCTCTGTCATCTTGGTGACGACATGTACTCTAAGAGCCACTCTCATTATCTTTTGGTTCAATAAAGTTACAACTCACTGTTCTCAGACCATTGTGACAGTTAGTAATGTTTACAGTTAAAACTCGAATACATGGCCAGGTTCCTTAAGTTGTTATTACTGGATTTTGTTTTGTTTTACTTTTGTCCCAAGAACCACTGGCGTTACCTGCTGGCTTGAGATTCAGGGTTTGCTGGATATTTTCTAACCTTGTGGCGTGCAGTCATCACAACCAACCAGCGGCATTCAAGCTTGCGTTATTTTACAGTCCATCTTCTCATTGTGCATGTGTCATTTTCTGAACTTTTTTTGGCAAGACTTAGGTTTCACACAAGATAGACACGCCACTATATAGGCAGCTTGATATAATACTGCATATTTTAGTAAAGTTGTGCAGATCTCTGCTCATTTTGTCAATCTTTTGAATTCAGCCAGAAGTTTGGGTCCTTTTTTCCATCTGAATTGCAATTTAACTGCATTATGTTTCTTTGCTTTGTGAATTAAGCTTATGGAAATGAAGAGAAGATGTCCCTCAGTGGTTATTATGTATTAGGATTTTCATGGCCATGCTTGTCAGTTCTTTTGTTAGAAAATGTCACCCTCGATTACTTTAGGAAAGGGTCATTCATTAACTTTGCAGATGTCAAAGTCATTTTCCTTCTCTGTATTTTTCAGCTCTACTGACTTCTGCTGAAACCATTCAGAGCTGAGGACATGGACCTTTGGCAATGTGAGAAGATATTGTACAGTATATTTTAAATCTATGAAATTCATAGTTCTGATGCTTTTGGCCACAGAGCATCGTTTTATCACTTCTGGAAAATGTTTATTCCAAAACAGCTTTAATGGCCCATATGTACACTCAAGGTTCTGTAATGTAATCTCAAGGTTATTACTCTGACACCAGCTTGCTGCTATGATTTCAAAGCACATAAGTCAAGGTGCTTTCTAGTATGCAGTCTACAGCCAGAGCTTACGTAGTTGCTGATCTCCAGGTTTTGATGTTTCTAAAGTCTGGGTGGACTTATATTTCTTTTCACTTTTCAGTACAGAAATTTAGTTATTATTTCCAGTGAAGCTTGTTTTCCTTTTTTTTTTCCTTCCTCCCATTTCAGCTACTGCAATGCTTTGTTTCACACTTGATTTGTAAAAATTTTATATATATATATTTAAAATGTGCCATTTTATTATTGCTAAGTGAAGTATGTCTCGTTTCCTGCTCTAATTATTTCTCAGTCAGATTGCATTGTCAGCAGTTACTGCCACACTCTTGTCAGCTTAAACACAAATGTTACCGCTTACTTTTTCTTAAAAAGCAATTTAAAATGTAGGTATTTTGAAGTACTGGGCTTCTACTTCATTGGACTAGATGTGTACAGCAATAAGCAGGTTTTCAAATCCAGTACTTAGTTTGTGTACAAATGTAATTATGTTCATTGTGTATATATTATACAATGAGCACACGTAATGTAAGTATTAAAGGCTACTTACTATTGTTTAAATGCAAATGTTCATATCTCATTTCTTTTTTATCATGTTAAATAAATGTTGATGTTCTTAAATGACTTGTGTTAGAATTTTTGCTCTTCTCAGGTGAAATGGAAAGTCTGAGACTTTAAGAGACTTCTCAATGAAAAAGTAGTCTGTTAATCTCATTGCAGACAGCACCAGAAAAGAACTGTATCTGTCGTCCAACTCAGCTCTCCCATGTCGAAGCTGAGAAACTTGAAGCTCAGAGAGAAAAACTGACTTAGCCACAATCACTTTACACTTAATGACAAAATCTGCGCCAGAATAAAGTTTCTCTGACCTTTCAACACCAGTGGGCAAATTTAGTTTTGTCAAGTCTTCTGTACCTACTTCCTCTTTCCGTTGGTTTTGGTGTCATAGAAAGTAGCTTCTAGCATCTATAATCTCGCTCTACTTAAGGACTGAATTTGGAGTGGGGGCAGGGGCAGCCAGTTACTTCTCTGACCTGGGTAACGAGAAACCATTTCGTCATCATAAGCAGAACCCTCAGAGATCGTTTTCTCTTACAACACATTCTCTGCAGATGTTCACGCTCTTCAGAATCAATTACATTTCCTTCCCTGTATAACCTTTTGTTCAGGCTATATATTGTTCCCAGAGTACAAGGAAATGTGATGCTTTGGGATTCCTCTATAACACGGTTGAAACTAAATCGACACTGGTCAGTCTTATTTTTTTCATGCTGTGTTAAAGCAGATTTAGATTTAATTTAAAATGCACATGTATAAGAATTCATCCAAACAGAAACACACAAAATGAAGTGCAAATAGATACGGTCTGTAATGTAGGAGGTGAATGAAAAGAGAGGTGAAAATGGGAGAAGAATGTATAGCTCTGTCTGTCCATATAAACATGATTACATGTGTTACCTTTTTCTGAAGATGGTTTCTCAAAGGAAATAGTCAACAGATGATGATTTCCCTTAGTCATGATACAGAGATTGTTGTCAAGTTTTTATGGGTATGTTGAGGTTGAAAATTGATGTTATTCTTTGGGTTTCGTTTGGGTATTTTTGTGTAGTGTTTGTCTTTATGTTTGATTGGTGTGTGTGGTATGTTACTTTGAATTTACTCTAAACACATTTTTTGAACTATTTCAAGAAGGAAAAAATGTCCCATTCTGGAATACATGGAAGCTAGGGAGAATTTGAAGAAAGCAGTATAAAGTAGTTGTAACTCTTCATTCTGGCTTTCAGCATTTCAGAAAGCCAGATGAAAATCATATATTTACAAACAGTAAGTCAACACAGGTATTTGTTACAGGATATAGTAGAGGGACTATTAATATCCTTTAAAAACTTGTACTAGATCAGTACTCTCTATCTGACCTAAAACTCACCTTTCCCAACTTTCCCCCCTTATAGGAGAGGTGCATAGAGAGCTTAGCAAGTCCCAAGACTCACGGTAAGGAGGGCAGATAGACTGGAAAGGCCATTACACCAAGTTGGGGGAGTAGGGGTTACCGTAAGGGCCACCTCTCAGCCATGGAAGTAAGCTTTAGAGTTCAGTGCATGGCTAGTTGGGTTGGTTTCTTGGTCGTCACATGCATGTACCTCACCCATCTCCAATGATTTGACAGGTGACTGCCATATGGTGGTGGAAAAGTAAACAGGTTTGGAATTCCTTGGTGGTCTGGTGGGTTGGATTCCAAGCTTCCATTGCAGGGGGCGACAGTTTAATTCTTGGCCAAAGGGGGAAAAAAGGAAATAGATAACCATAGACAAGAGATCTGGGGGTGACAGGTTTAATCCTTGGCCAAAGGGGGAAAAAAGGAAATAGATAACCATAGATGAGAGATCTACAAGTTTCTCTGGTTTGATACCTTCACAAGTTTTTTGTTTTTGTTTTTTAATATTTAGCTTAGCTGCATCAGGTCTTAGTTGTGGCACTTGGGATCTTCCATCTTCATTGCAGCATACAGGATCTTTTTTTTTTTTTTTTAGTGGTAGCATGTGAAGTCTTTAGTTGTGGCATGTGGGATCTGGTCCCCTGACCAGGGATCCAAACCAGGCCCCCTGCACTGGAAGTGCAGAGCCTTAGCCACTGAATCATCAGGGAAGCCCCCTACAAAAGTAGTTTTAATAATCATGTGCCCCTTTGCACACTTTAAGTTTGATATCCACAATTTTTCATAAGTTGGAATAGTTAAAAAGAATGCAGTTTCTAGCATGCTGTAAATATTAACTTTTAAAATAAACCCGTTACCTCAATTTTTGTAAATGTACCCAACAAAGTCTACATACTATTTTGGTACATATATCTTCCATTTTTAAAGATACAAACCAGCCTTTTTATTTTTTTGTTTTTGTTTTTTTTTGGCTGCACCACACAGCTTACAGGATCTTAGTTCCTTGACCAGAGATTAAACTTGGGCCACGGCAGTGACAGCCCCAAGTCCTAACCACTGGACCTCCAGGGGATTCCCATAGCTAATATTAATCAAGGGCTAACTTTATCTAACTTTACAGCTTCTAAATTTACTAGGGCACTATTATTCATTATCTTGTTTGAGCAGTTTAACATGAATCAGAATCACCTGAAAAGCTTGTTAAAACACAAATTGCTGAGCCCCATCCCTAATATTTCTTATTCTGTCTTATTAATTTCTTATTTGGTCACACTCTGGACCAGAGTATGGTCCAAAAATGTGAATTATAATTCTTAACAGGTTTCCAGGTGATAACTGATGCCTATGCTCCACGGACCACACCTTGAGAACTTCAGATATAGAACAAGGCTCTGTGTTGTTTATTGAGTTTTGGTTTTTGTGTACATTGAGTTTTTGTGTTGTACATTGAGTTTTTGTGTTGTTCATTGAGTTTGTTGTTCATTGAGTTACATGTGGTGGTGAAAAGGGGCTTCAGGATAAATTCAGTTTTTATTTATGAAGGTGTACACAGAGTGTAGAAAAACTAAGACAAATAATGTAACAACTTAGAGATGTTCTATCCCTAACCCCAAAGGGGTAATGGAAGAAGCAGGTAGAACCCGTAGAAGAGAGTCATTTGAAAGAAGCCTTAATCTGAGAGACCAAGCCAGCTTCAGTGAATGCACCCTGCAAAGATGAGGTAGGGCAAGAAATTTCCGATGGCTCTGTCTTATTGCCAGGGCTCCCACTGGCTGAATTCGGAGGTCACAAGAGTTGTGTTGGGTGTGTCTGGGAACTCCTGAAGGTTTCCTGGACCTTCTCAGAAGATCCTTGCAGTCAAAACTGCTTTCATAGTAATGCTAGGATTGTTGTTCAGTCGCTGTCATGTCCAACTCCTTGTGACCCCATGGACTGCAGCACACCAGCCTTCCCTGTCCTTCAGTTTGCTCAGGCTCATGTCCATTATTTCAGTGATGCCATCCAACCATCTCATTCTCTGCTGCCCCCCAGTAAGATGGTATTTGCCTTTTCCACTTTGATTCTCTCAGTAGTGAATAGTGGCATTTTCCAAAGGCTATTTGTCTTGTGATACTTCAGCAGCTTGAGTGCAGAAGGAAATGTGAAAATCCACCTATCTTCTGTTAATCCTGATAGAAAAGGGCATTACAATGGAAAGCAATTTTTTTAATTAAAAAGTATTTATGTTAACATGTAGTGGGTTTATTACTGTAATTTTTGATGAACAAGTAAATCTTTCAAACATGTTTCAGCTTTAACTTCTATTGCCATAAATTCCAATATGTCACAAAACAAGCTATGTAGAGTCCTTGATAGTTGTTTTATATGTGAGAATTGTGAGACCCCCCAAAGTTTGAGAACCCCTTATATAGTCCATCTGTACCTATACAGAAAGGATGTGGGAGCTGGATCATAAAGAAGGCCGAGTGCTGAAGAATTGATGCTTTTGAACTGTGGTGCTGGAGAAGACTCTTGAGGAGTCCTTGGACTGCAAGGAGATCTAACCAGTCAGTCCTAAAGGAAATCAACCCTGAATTGGAAGGACTGATGCTGAAGCTGAAGTTGAAGCTCCAATACTTTGGGCCGCCTGATGCAAAGAGCCGACTCATTGGAAAAGACCCTGATCCTGTGAAAGATTGGAGTTAAAAGGAGAAGAGGGCGGTGGAAGATGAGATAGTTAGATAGCATCACCGACTCATGAAAATGAATCTGAGAAAAGTCTGGGAGACAGTGAAGGACAGAGGAGCCTGGTGTGCTGCAGTCCATGGGGATGCAAACAGTTGGACACAACTTAGTGACTGAAAAAAAAAACAACATAGAGTCCATAGAAGTTAGCCTCCTGTTGCAGGGCATAAGTTGAAAACTTTGAGAGGGGAAGGAGATACCAGCCCATCTTCCCAGGGATGATGCCTCTTGCAGTCAATACTTGGAAATCATCACCAGTCTGCTCCTTGAACTGGAAGACTCAGTGTCTATGAGTCATCCAGAGCCTGTGAGTCCCTCTTGGGCCCTGCAGTTTACAAATCATTAATGAAAAATGACTCAGAAAGCTGGCATCCAGACATACAAAGGTGTAAAAAGGCTGAGGATTTTTACTTTAGCCCTCCTACCCGATTCATACTTTCTTATTCTCGTTAGCCTTGGGTGATTACAAAAACATAGTTAAAATATTTAAATAGGAGTTTCCTGGTGGACCAATGGTTAAGACTTCTCCCTCCAGGGGGCACAGGGTTTGATCCCTGGTTGGGGAACTAAGATCCCACATGCTGTGCAATGCAACTGAAAAAAAAAAAGTAAAATATAATTCTGTTAAATTTACAAAAAAAAAATTTTTTTTGTAAATATAGACATGTCATTCCACGACAACATGGAGTAGCAACCATGAAAGAATCCATTACATGATCTACCCAAATGATATTATTTGCCAAATGTGATTTCTGCACAGNTTGTGCATTTCAAAATTTGTTAAGAAGTAAATTTATACAATATTATATGTCGTCTCAATGAAGCTGGGGAAAAAATTTTTTTTAGAGCCTTGTCAATGGTTTTTCTTAATTTTATTTTATTTTTTTTAAATAAGATTTATTTATTTAGAAATAAGTCTGTCTGTGTCGATTATGTTTGTACGCTGATTGCCTTGGAACCA